TACGGGCTAAGGGCAGGTTCTGGGGGCTAAGGACAGGTCCTGGGGGCTAAGGACAGGTGCTGGGGGACAGGAATGGGTCCTAGGGACTAAGGACAGGTCCTAGGGGCTAAGGGCAGGTGCTGGGGGCCAGGAATGGGTCCTGGTGTCTAAGGACAAGTGCTGGGGGCTAGGAACAGGTCCTGGACACTGGAACAGATCCCCTGGCTTGGTCAAGTTTATCAGACCCCAGTGTTTGGCGACTCCTAGGACACGCTGTTCTACAGAGGACTTTGAGAGACTGCAGGAACTCCCTGGCCTGCCCCTGACGGGGACCCAGGGAGAATAGCAGTGGGGAACCTCTAGGGACTTCTGCGGAGGGAGGTAGAGCAGGGTGCTCAGGAAGGAATCCCCAAGTTCTGGAAAAGGGACACAATGGCGAGGTGCTGCTTGCCGTGTTCCTTCGATGCTGGTGAAGGAGAGCACGAGGTGGGGAAGAATGGGGGGGTGGGCTCAGAGGGAAGGACGTGGGCCGCGCCCTCTGTTCCTCAGCGAGGACCCGCCTCCCGGGATGGGCTGGCGGAGCCTGTGCCGAGGGGCCGCCGAGGCCCGGGGTCCCCGTGCTGGCCCCCCAGCACCCCCTCAGCACCCCCGCGTCTGTGCGCCCACAGTTCTGGCAATACGGCGAGTGGGTGGACGTGGTCGTGGACGACAGGCTGCCCACCAAGGACGGGGATCTGCTGTTCGTGCACTCGGCAGAGGGCAGCGAGTTCTGGAGCGCCCTGCTGGAGAAGGCCTACGCCAAGTGAGCGACCCTGCCCCCCGACCGCCCCGGCTTCCGGGGAGAGCAGGTGGTGTTCAAGGACCACCTCGAGCAGGAGTCCCGTTCCACACAAGGACCGCTTTGGCCAGAACTGGGCTCGCGGGCCGCCGGCCGCGCCGCGCCCCGATACCCGACGGCAACGGCCCTTCCCGACGCTGTGCGCTGGGACGGGCGGTGGCGCCCAGGGCTGGCTCGGGAAGGACCCGCTTCCCTCGCACGTCACTGCCGGGTCATGTCACATTTTCATCAGCCCGGGGCAGCACGGTTTCTGCCGGTGCGTACCCGCCGCAGGCAGGACACAAGGGTGCGGAGTCCACAGACGAGGGACCCGGCCCCTGCGGCCCCTGCGGGGAGGAGGGCCGGGGTCCCCACGGCCGGCTGGGAGAACCGCTTCTCAGTCGTGGGTCCAGACGGCGCAGCCGGAAGCCGCGGGCCACCACAGGGCGGTCAGGTGCGGCGTGGGGCGCTCTGTGCGTAGAGGTGCTCTCGTCACTGCCCTGTGGCCTGTGTTGAGCTGTAGATGCCCAACAGCCCCTGAGCAGCTGTCCTCGCCGTCAGGACAGACAGACAGTCCGTGCGGGAGGTCGGACCTTCCACCCCCGAGGTTCTAGGAGATTTTCGGGCGGCCACGTGGGGGGGAGTCCGAGCGGAGGGTCCCTGGAGCTGCCCGCAAGGGAGGCCTGGGGCAGCGGGGGACACAGGGGCAGCGGCTTCCGTCTCCCCTCAGGGTCAACGGCTGCTATGAGGCGCTCTCGGGCGGCGCCACCACGGAGGGCTTCGAGGACTTCACCGGGGGCATCGCCGAGTGGTACGAGCTGAGGAAGGCCCCTCCCAACCTGTTCAAGATCATCCAGAAGGCTCTGCAGAAAGGCTCCCTCCTGGGCTGCTCCATCGACGTGAGTCCGGGCCCCTCCCTGCCTGCTCTGGCCGTTGGGAGCCCAGCCCCTTCAGCACGGCGTGCGCATCACCTGGATGGGTGGCCACCGCCAGGCTGTCTGCGGGCCGCTGGTGGGCAAGGGCGTGGCCAGCCCGGACCACAGGTTCCCCGAGGCCCCCACCCCTCGGCAGGTCCCGGGGGCCGGACCATGTCCAGATTCCTGCCCCCCGCAGCCTCCCCTGAGCTGCCTCGGGGCCCAGGGGCCTGGGGGGGGGTGGGGGCTGCAGGAGGCATCGGGAGGGACATCTCATAGCGGCCTTGCCGCACGGCCCCCCAGAGGAAGGCAAGGTTGCCCTGCGTCCCGTCCCCAGGCCTCTTCCAGGCCCAGCCCACTCTGGAGCCCGGTGCTGCTGCGGGCTTGTTCCCCGCGGGGACAGACGTGAGAAGGCCCCACTCTCGGGGCCCAAGTCTCTGGGCAACTTGCTAAACAACAAACTCCTACCCAGGAAATTTGAAGACCTAATTGGCCTCACTAAGCGGTTCGTGAGTCAGGCGTCTCCCCATCCAGCCGGGGGGTGGGGGGAGGGGAGGCGTCCGCGGAGCTGCACCAAGTGGAAGGGACCCTGACTTCACCCGCACACCGTGTTGGGGCAGAATACCCTCCTCTCGGCCCCTCTGCCTGGTCACCAACACAGCGGGCCCCCTTCCGCCCAGTGGTTGGGGTGGGGGGGGCTGAGGAGGTTCTAACACAACAGGGGCACATCAGCAGCCACGGCAAACAGCTGTCCTCCTGGGAGCAGCGGGCTGGGCCACCAGGGCCTCCAGCACCCTGAGGGCGTGCCCTCTCCCGTGCCCCCTGCAGAGGGCCGCGAGCACCCGTCCGCTGGGCTCCCCAGGCCTGCTCCGTCCACGGGCAGCCGGGAGGTTGTCCTCCCCCAGGCCCGGAGGCCGGGGGTTTGGTGGAGGGACTGGAGGGAGCAGGGGTGAGGGCGAGGCCGCTGCGTCCACCTGATTCCTCCCCTGTCTCCAGATCACCAGCATGGCGGACTCGGAGGCCATCACCTTCCAGAAGCTGGTGAAGGGGCACGCGTACTCAGTCACCGGGGCGGAGGAGGTGAGGCGGCCGGGGTTTTCGGGGGGGGGCGTCATGTCCCTGACGCGGCGGTCGGCTTGGCTGGGCGGGTGGTTACCAGGAGGAGGGGGGCGGCCTCATTCCCGCGGCCCGGCCGCCAGGCCTCAGATCCCTGAAGCCGAGGGAGCCTGGGTGGGGCGGCCAGCTGGTGTCCCCTCTCGGCCGGGTCCCACCCTCCCACTGTGCTTGTTTAGACTCACTTTGCCCCCGGGACCAGCTACTGCATGCACAGAGTGGTGTAGACCCTTCAGAGTGCTTTTGCGTCTGACCTCACAACAACGTTAGTGCCCGAATTCCTGTTCAGATCGGACGGCCTCTGGCCAGCGGCCTGGGCAACTTCTCCTAAACCCCCGCCCCTCCGTACCCCCGAGCTGGAGGCCGTGATGACACACACCATAGGGCTGTTCCCCTGCCCGCGGTCCCCGTCTGCCCACCGACCCCCGCTGCCCGCGGTCCCCCGTCTGCCGTGGCACCCGCTGCCCATGGTCCCCCGTCTGCCCGCAGTCCCCATCTGCCCATGCAGCGTCACTAGAAACAGGACAGCCCCACTGCCACGTACAAACCCCATGTCGTCTGACTTGTCCGGGGCTCCATTTCTTTTAAACCCGGGACTTTTATTCTATTCTCCATCTACCACCTCCCACACATCCGTTGTTTTATTTTGAAAAAGTTCAAGTCTGTGGAAAAGTTGCAAGAACAGTGTGATGCCCGCCCCAGTGCGGTTTCCCCAGACTCGACACCTAGGGTTCTGCACACGTCCTCCCTCCCTGTGCTGCTTTCCGAGCCGCATGGAAGGAAGTGTCAGACGCCATCACGCTTTGCCCCCGAATACTTCCACGGCCACCTCCCACGAGTGAGGACACTCTGTCACATAATGCCATCTCCGTTCCCACGCCAACGAAAATAAACATCCACCCGGCAGCGGCATCTGACACAGGGTTCAGGTTACGTGTTCCCGGCTGCTACAAAACACCCTTCGTAGAAACGCGCCGCCCCCCCCCCCCGCCCCGGGATTCACTGGAGATCCAGGCGGCACACCTGCTTCTCAGCACCTTGTTTCTGCCACAGGCCGGGAGGCGCCGGGGGCTCCCGAGACCACAGCACAGTGAAGCTGAGGTTCGGGGTCAAAGACCCGGGTCCTCCCCCAGCCGGCCCCCGGAGGGGTCTGGGGTCCAGCCCTTCTCCCTTTTCTGACCCCCTTGTAACATGGACCCCACCCCTCCTGGCTCGTGGAGAAGGGGCCTTGGGCCCGAGCGCGTCCAGGCTCGGCTGGAGCTCAGCGCCCCCTCCCTGTGCCCCGTCTGCAGGTGGAGAGTGGGGGGAGCCTGCAGAAGCTGATCCGCATCCGAAACCCCTGGGGAGAGGTGGAGTGGACGGGCCGGTGGAATGACAAGTGAGGAGAGGCGGCTGCGGGCGGGGGGAGGCCGGAGGCAGGCGGCTGTGCAGGAGCAGGGCCCCGGGGTCACAGGGCCGTGCCCCCTCAGGCAGGTGCCCCTCTAGGGGCCACCAGCACATCCCAGCGGTCTGGCGCCCTGTCCAAGCCGGCGCTCCTGCCGTGAGCTCGAGGTCCACGCCTCCCTGGCTCAGCGTCCCCGCTGGCGGGCCCCGGGGGAGAACACAGGTTCCCGGGCAGGCGCCACAGCGGGGCTGCGGCCAGGTCAGGCCAGGTGCCTGCAGGTCAGCGACACCTTGGATTTTCTGTTCCCGTTAAAACGGGGCTGTCTGGTCCTGGCCGCCAATGCCGCCCCGTCTCCCCCCCGGACTGTCTGTCTTCTTCCTGCCACCGTCCAGGGCGACATCTGGCCTCACCCCCTCTGTTCCTGGGGCTCCTGGCCCTCGAGTGTGTCCCCAGGGCCTCCGCTGGGGTCCTGGGGACACATCCTCGCCGGCACTGGTGCTAACACCCTCCCGTCACGTGGTTTTCCAGCTGCCCCAACTGGAACAGCGTCGACCCAGAGGTGAGGGAGAGGCTGACCAGACGGCACGAAGACGGAGAGTTCTGGTAAGCTTGCTGGAGGGGTCTGCCGGTGGGCTGTAGCGGGACATTAGGGAGACGGGGACCGTGGGATCTGCCCCCATCGTTTCAAATTCACCGTAAGACCCTGAATGGAACCATTCGTCCCTCTCAACAAGGGGGTGGCACAACCCCTCAGAAAGCAGGAGGGAGTCCTGCAGGCGTGTCCGGATCCCGACAGAAACCCGGAAGGACGGGGCCGTTCTCCCAACCAGTTCCGAGTTGTCCCCACACTCGAGAACCAGGCCTTTCGAGAGCAGGGCTGGGCCCGCGGGTTCACCGGTGGGCAGTGTCCAACGCGGCCCAGCGGGAAAGAGCTGGAATCCGCGCCTGCTGGCCGCTCTGCCTGCCCTCACCGGCTCCTGGGCTGGCCTTGGGCGGAAGGTCAGGGTTCGGCAGCGTGCCCTCCCGTGACCGGGGCGCCCTCGCCCTGCCTCCGCCAGGATGTCGTTCGGTGACTTTCTGAGGCACTATTCTCGCCTGGAGATTTGCAACCTGACCCCCGACACCCTCACCAGTGAGTCCTACAAGAAGTGGAAGCTCACCAAGGTGGACGGGACCTGGAGGCGGGGCTCCACCGCGGGAGGCTGCAGGAACTACCCGAGTAAGGCCGCCCGCCGGGCCCTCGTCCGTGCTCGCCTGGCCCCTGCCCCGCCACACCCCACACGCGGCCTCCCCAGCCCTAGGTTCCCCTGTGCCATGGCCCCCACCACACCCCGTGAGGCCGAGCGTGGTCCCAGCTCAGGCCCACGGGCCACTCCGTCCACGTGAAGCCCAGGCAGCCCCGCCCTGCAGGGACCTCGCCCACAGGGCCGCTGCACACCCGGGCCCCAACCATCGCCCGCAGCCCTCTTGCGCACTCGGGCCCGGCTCAGACGGGGTCCCCGGTCCCTCCCTCGTTGACCCCCGACCTTCTGCCTTGTGGCCCAGGGCTCCCCTCCCCCTGAGCCGCAGAAATTGAGTCGGTGTGATATGACACATCGGGCCTGGGGACCGTCCCAAGTGGTTTATGTGCATTTGACCCCGTCTGTCTTCATGAGCCTCCACGGCGGGCACACTGCTGTCCTCTTCATCTTTAAGGTGAGGGGACCGCCGCTTGGAGAGGTTAAGTGACCTCACGGTACCCCTCACGGGGACGTGACGCAGGCAGTCTGACCGCGGAGGCCACGTGATGGTCGTGTGCCGATTCTCCACTGATGGGGAGACTGGGGCTCCCCTGGCATCCCGGGCCGCGGACAGGTGGTGGGATCTCGAGTTCTGGTGCTTTCAGTCCTTCCCCTCCAGCCACCAAGTGGCGGTTCCAGAGGTGCTGGGGAGGCCGTCTGCCCCCGACAAGCCGCTCGCTGGATGCGGGGCCGGCAAATCTCTCAGGGGCCAGATGGGAAACATCTGGGGCTTGGTGAGCGTCAATTTCTACCGCTTTTCTGTCAGCTCCGCCGCCGTCACCCGAAGGCCGCCAGGCCTTCAACAACATGGCCGTGTTGTCATAAAGCTTTATTTACGAAAACAGGCGGCCAGGGGCCCTCCAAGCTGTAGTTTGCTGACCCCTGCACCAAATGACCCCTTTATTTCCCCAACAAAGAGTTTATCCTGTTAGGTGGGCGAGGGGAGTTGTTCTCAGACGTGAACGAATCTCTGGTCCTTCCATAAATGGACTTTGGAACTGGGCGGGGGGGGGGGGGGCAGACACACCCTGGGGTGGACAACGGGACACAGAAGAAGAGGCGGGAATTTGCACAGGATGTTCCTGCCTCGGGGTTCACAGAGGGCGTGCGGGAGCGTGTGCCCCCACAGTGTCCCAGCCCGGCCAGCTGGGCCTGGGGTGGGACAGGGGCCGCAGGGGCTCAGCCCTAACACCCTGTTCCCGACTGACAAAGATGAGCCAGCCTGAGGGCGGGCGAGAGAACCGTGCGAGGGAGTTTCTGACATGGGTCCCCGTGGTCCCCAGGCAAGTGCCGGCCGGCTCTGTCCACAGCCCCCCAGCGCCCGCCCACCTGCCCACCCGTCTTTATGAGGCTCCCTCCCCCTCCCCGTGCGCACCTGCAGGGGCAGGGGCGGCCCCGAATCCTCAGTGACCCGGCCCCTCTCTGGCCGCAGACACGTTCTGGATGAACCCTCAGTACCTGATCAAGCTGGAGGAGGAGGACGAGGACCAGGAGGACGGAGAGAGCGGGTGCACCTTCCTGGTTGGCCTCATCCAGAAGCACCGGCGGCGACAGAGGAAGATGGGGGAGGACATGCACACCATCGGCTTCGGCATCTATGAGGTGGGGGCAGCATGGGCCGCCTCCTTCCCTGCTCTCAGCCCCGGGGGGGGGACTGCCCTCCCCATGGGCACGGTGGGCCCCAGGGCCCCGTCAGGAGGCCAGCCCAGGGAAAGCAGGGCTTTTACAGCAAAACTCTGTGTGCGAGATGTGGCGGCCGGGCCGGGTCGGTGCGAGGAGACACCCCGAGGTCCCTGCAGCTGGTCCGTGTCCCCGGAGGTGCCTAGGGCTTGCCTAGGCCCCACAGCCGCTTTGGGGACAGTCTACTCTTTTTAGAGGCCTCCCGCCTCTTCTGAGACACCCCCCCCCCCCAACCAGGCCTGGTGCTCTGCTTGGCCCGCCGACCTCCAGGCCTAGATCAGAGCCCCCACAGGGGACACTTCGGGCAGGTACCGCTCCAGCGTCCCGCTGGGACCAGCTCAGGGCCGGGAACGCGAGCTCTGTGCCGCCCGCAGGGGCTTCATTTCCAACCAAGTCATAGCAAGGCCGGGCTCTGCCCCCCACCATGCCCGCCCCACTCCTCCCTGCAGCACGGCCCAGAGCCGCTCGGATGAGGAGGGGCGGTCCCCACATTCAGGGAAACCTCCGTGGTGGGGAGGGCAGCATGCCGCTGGTAGAGGTCAGAGGTCAGACGCTCACTCATCACTGGCAACGTGGCGCCCGTAACAGGACCCCGCCTGTAGAGTGGGTCACCTGCCACCGTTGCAGGCGTGCACATGAGCTCTGAGCCCCTCGGCCTCTGAAATGGGAGCTGAGGACTTCTGCTCTGGGACAAAGCGACCCCAGGGAAAATGCCAACGGGACGTGACGCAGAGCCCACCCCCCGCCTCATGGGTGTGCAAAGCCGGTCCTGGGCTCTGGAGTTGGGGAGCACGGGGGGGGGTCACTTGGTCCCCTTTAGAGACAAGGAAACTTTGGCAACAGAGGGAGCTGACTCGCCCAAGGACACACGGGCTGGGTGTGACGCCTGCTGGCTCCCAGCCCGGCGGGCACCCTCGAGTTGGGGGCGGGGAGACCTCAGCCGGGCGTTTCACGGCTCCGTGCCCCGGTTTTATGCTCCATAAATTAGCAATGGCGCTAAGGGCTCAGCCACATTGTTGCTGGGTCACGAGGTTTGTCCTCCGTGTGGGAACGGTTGGGGGCCCTTGGAAAACAATTACTGTGCTGAGTCACCTCACGTTGCTAGAGCTGCAGGGGATAGGGGGCTGCAGCCCATCACGGGGGTGGCCTCATACAGCTTCCGGGAATCTGAAGTGTGCTCTCCTTTGTGCCCGCAGGTGCCGGAGGAGGTACGTCTGGGAGACGCTGGCTCGTGTTCACCACCAGGCACAAGGCCCCGACTGCTGGCTTGGGGGGTCCCGGGAGGCCTGGGCAGGGCTGGTGGCTGGGGGCACCCTGGGGAGGTTGCTCAGGTCCCAGGGCCTGCTGGGCCGAGCTCAGGGCCAGGTCTCTGGGGAGTCCCTGCGGGGCACGGGTCAGCTCTGGGTGGACGACGTGTGGTCTGGGATGCAGGAGGCTCTCCGCAGAGTCCTGCAGTTCCCCCTAAAACAAGCCTGAAGGGAAAGGTGAGCCCCAGGACTGTGCCTAAGATGATGTGGGAGCCCAGGGGCCTGGATCCACTCCCCAGCCCTGCCATTTGCAGGCCGTGTGGCCTCAAACAAGTTATGGGTCCTCTCTGGACCTCAGTTTCTTTCTCTTTTTTTTTTTTTTTTTTTTTAATGTTTTAAAGGTTTTATTATTTATTTCCGAAAAAGAGAGCATGAGCAGGGGAAGCAGAGAGAGAGGGAGGCACAGAATCCCAAGCAGGCTCCAGGCTCTGAGCTGTCGGCACAGAGCCCGATGCGGGGCTCGAATTCATGCACAGCGAGATCACGACCTGAGCCGAAGTAGGACGCTTAACCGACTGAGCCCCCAGGCGTCCCTCTCTGTTTCTTTTTCAATAAAACTTGGTCCACCACCCACCTGGAGGGACCATAGCGATGAGGTGAATGGCGTGAGAGCACGTAGTAGGCTCACAGCTGGCATTAGCAGGCTGGTGGGAAGTACAGCAGCCATGTGGGTCCATAAAGGCCATGGGTGATCCAGTGACCATGCAGCGTGCCCCCCTCCACCCCAGTGGTACACACTGTCGGGCCGGGCAGTGCCGTCCGGGGCAAGCTGGGCTTCTCCGGATCCCTCTGGTGAGTTCCGGCCTCGCGGCGGCCAGCCCGACCACACCTGCCTTCCTGGCCCGGCCCCGTCCCGACTTTTGTTCACGTGTCACACACCACACAGCACTGATCCGACTCCTGCGGGGGGCCTCACGGCCGAGCCCCTCCGTGTGCAGATGGGGTCTCTGCAGAGCTGGGTGCACGCGGGACCCCCGCCGCACGTGCCCTGAGCCCCTCCGTGGACATTGGTTCTCGTGGGCGGGAAGTTTGCGTTTGATCTGGAACGGCGGGCATCGTCGCCTTCTCCATGAGCAAAAACAATGCGGATTTGGGGCTCTCTCTGCCGTCTACTCCCTTCTGTTTCTGTTTGTCCCTCAGATGACTGGACAGACTAACATCCACCTCAGCAGAAACTTCTTCCTGACGCACCGGGCGAGGGAGCGGTCCGACACCTTCATCAACCTGCGGGAGGTGCTGAACCGGTTCAAGCTGCCGCCTGGGGAGTACATCCTGGTGCCGTCCACCTTCGAGCCCAACAAGGACGGGGACTTCTGCGTCCGGGTCTTTTCCGAGAAGAAGGCCGACTACCAGTAGGTGCTCCTGCCCTCCTCCCCGCCCCCCGTCCCCATCCCCGTGCCCTGGAGCGCGGCGCCCTCCCTCCGAGTTTCTGCCCTGCGACACCCACCCGCTTCCAGGGCGCAGCTGGAAGGACCTCAGCGTTACATTCCAGCGAGCAAAGAAATGAGCCATGCAGGGTATTCGCGGTTAGAAAGGGCGGCTGTGGAGCCTAGCGCAGAATCTGCTGTGGCAGCTGCGTCTCCGAAAGATCGAGCTGTCACATTCGTCGTAACGACACGGGTTGGACGGCTGGACCCAGGCACCTCACAGGGAGAGGCTGGGCCGCACCGTATAATCCTTTCCGTCCAGCGGCCCTCGAGTGACGGCCTCGGTGGTCACTGGGCCCAGCGGTCCAGGGCCACTTGTCAGGATGGCTCGGTTCCCAATGGCTCTTGCCCCGTTGGCCGCTGCCTCAGCCGCATCTATTCGGTTGGGCACCTGATTGCAGGAGACGTAATCCTCCTCGGCGGCTTAAGCAAAAGGAGATTTACGGAGAAACACGGGGGCTTTGAACAGACGGGAAGCAGGGCACACGGCACGTGCTGTGTTGCCTCTACCTCGTGCCACGGGCTCCCATCAGACCCAGGACAGTGTGTCCGATGGGCCGGCTCGGGCCAGCCGCGGGCACAGCGGCCGGGGCCCTCGGTGGACCAGTGGAGGGTCCCGGGGCCCAAGAAGGGCCCAGCGCCGCACACAGCACAGGGCACCGCCCCAGCTGCCCGAGATTCAGCTGAGACCACACCCCGGCCTCCGAGCAGGACCCGTAGGCAGCAGGGACCTTGCAGGATCCCGGGTGTGGAAGGTTTATGTGACAGAGATTGCCACAGAATCGGAGAGCGGGTGCCGGGGTCTGCTGTCCCCACACATGCTTCTCGAGGAGCAAGAAAGTCCCTGCCCGCCTCCGCCTCCTCCGTGCAGGGCTGTGGTCCAGTGACCCTGCCCGCCCCGCCCTGCGCTGCCCTAACAGTCACACGTGCCATCGGCCTTGATTTTGGCACCACGTGCGTCCCACCCCCACCTCCTTTCCGGTAACACAGTCTCCCTCTGTTTCCAGGGTGGTTGACGACGAGATCGAGGCTGACCTTGATGAGGTGTGTGTGACCTCCGGACCTGCCCGCTCTGCCCCCGACTGCCCAGGACCCAGAGGGGCCCCTCCTAATCGCTAGGGGGTCCCAGGACCTCGTGCCCGCAGCTTGAAACTAGGGTCGCCCCCTGCACCTGCACCGGCCAGTGCGTGGCCCTTGACCACCCCACCCCCGCGCACGGGACCACGGGCTTCTCGCCACCTTTCCTGGGCCTCAGTTTCCTCATCTGTAAAATGAAAACGCTGGGTGATGAGATTTCTGAGGCTCCCGAGGGTAACACCAAGGGTCGCTGTTCAAATAGTGGTGAATCCCGAGGGTTTGGGGGTCCCAGGGGAGGCCTGACCACCACAAATCCCAAGTCCAGGAAGGAGACCACAGCCAACATGACGGAAGGCCCTTCCTCTGTCCCCTGTCCCCAGGGAGAGAGTGAATAGTCCAGGGGCCACTGTCAAAGACCTTCTAGAACATTCCGGCTGGGCTCTGCTTCTGGATCCCCACTAGTGTAGACCAGGAAGGGTGTCCTGGTTGAGGGCTAGAGGAGACGCCTCCGTGAGGACTTGTTAACCCCTCCCTCAGGCTTTCCATCCCTCTCTCATCCGCCCTTAATTCCTCACACTGCCCTTGGTCTCAAGCCAAGGCGCGGGAGGCGCCTCCTTGGCTCTGACCTGCTCCCGTGTCCCCCCTTCCAGAACGATGCCAGCGAGGACGACATTGACGACGGCTTCAGAAGGCTGTTTGCACAGCTGGCAGGCGAGGTGGGTGTCTGCACACGCGGCCTCTGCCCTGCGCTGCGGTCCACTCGAAGGGACAGTCTCGTCCCCGACGCGACTCCAAAGGGGCAGAGGCAAGAGTAGAAGCAAGAGGCGTCGCGGGGGGACTGGGGCTCCTGCCCACACGGTGGGGCTGCCGCTTGGCGTCTGCTCTGGCTCCGACTCCCTCTGGCCTTAGGGTTCCAGCTGCTTCCTGTCCTCTGCATCCAGCTGGGATGTCCCTGATGTCCACAGAGACGCTCAAGGGACAGAAGGGTAGAACATCTCAAGAGCACGGCTCAGGGCACAGTTCATTCAGGCGTTTCCCCCTGGCCGCCCCCCCCCCCCCCCGCCCCCGTCCAGCCCTGTCTGACCAGCCAGTCCAAACAGAGCTCTGGGGCCACCAGGTCTCTGGCCTCATGTCACAGACACCTGTTCCCGCTGGTCCGCGGCACGTGGGCCCCGCCCCCACCCCTAGGAGAAGGGACTGTGGCCCATGGTGGTCTTGCGACTTGGGCTCGTCCCCCCGTCCCTCCTCCCCTGTCCCCCAACACGAGGGCGTGTGTAGGGCACCAGACTCGCCCCGGGAGCTGGGGCCTCAGAGGAAGAGCGGCGGGGAGACAGCTGGGCCCTCACCAGCTTTGCAAGGAGCCAGACCCGGGTTTCAAAGGGGAGGAAAGGGGCGACGGGCGGAGGACTGGGATCAGAAGGGCGTCGAGTGGGACCGCACGCGTGAGTGGAGCGGAGGGTTCTCAACTGTGTCCACGGGGCCAGCGGTCCGCCGGGACGTGCGGCCTGCAGGGGGCGCTGGACCCGCACATCACAGGCCCCGCCCAGCCCCGCCCAGTGCACCTGACGTGGGCGGAGCCTCCCGCGTCCGGCGGCCGCCGGGCGGTGACCACGCTCTGCTTCGTGCCCACAGGACGCGGAGATCTCGGCCTTCGAGCTGCAGACCATCCTGAGGAGGGTGCTGGCCAAGCGTAAGTGCCCTCCTGGTGGGGCCCCGGTCCCCTCCCAGCCGCCGGTCCCCTCCCGCCCGCACGTAAACACCCGCCAGCCCGCGGCCCCCTGAGGAACTGGGCAGAGGAGGCTCTGTGTGCCCTGGTCACTCAGGATCAGAGGGCCCCAGGTCGAGACCACCACTGGCTGGCTCTTGCTGGAAGCCCGTGCGCGGAGAGCCTCGGGCTCTCTTGCTGCACCTGGAAAGCAGGAGCGTCACTACCTAACCCCAGAGATTGGGGAGCCTCCAACGGGTGCCCTGCGAAGCTGCCTGACGCAGAGCCCGCGCTCCGTGTGGCGGCCCCTCGGACGGTCAGCTGGAAGGGGGGCGGAGCCGTGGATGGAGTGATACCACCTCACTCAGTAGCCAGGGTGGAAGGGTAAACGGGCCGTCTGGAACCACGGAACGGTGTGCAAAGCATCTCCCCAGCGTGCATGTCAGGAGCCTCGTCTGACTGGCTCTTTACTCGGAGAGCCATGGTTTCCCTTGAACTGATGAGCCAGGCCAGGGACCTGAGGGCCCAGAGGCGGCTGGCAGGCTCCTGGAAGAAGGGGTGAGGCCCAGAGGGGCCTGAGGAGGGCCCGGGACACCTGGAACTGCGTCCGGGTCAGAAACAGGACAGGCCAGCCCCGGGGACACATTTCCTCCCCCGCAAATTATCACAGGAGCCGCACGGCCCTCAAAGAGACCGCCGTCCCCGCGCGGGTCTGTGTGAGGTCAGACCCCGCGAGGCTGGACGTTGCGTGTCCTGAGCAGCAGCGCTGGGCGCCACCAGCAGCCGGCCTAACCCATGGCAAACTCCCTCACGGCCAGAGAAGAGCCTGGCCGGCCGCCCATCCACCGCGGAGGATGTGGGGAGGGATCCGCTCGTAACCGGTTCCTCCCCGGGCAGGCCAGGCGCGGACAAGAAGATGGTGCGCGTCCCGGAGGCCGCCAGGCACGAGTGAGGTCACAGGGCTGCTGAGGCGTGTGGCCGTCAAAGCCTCCTTGTTCCCGCGCAGACGGAGGCGGAAAGAGCCAGGCCGCGCCGGGGCTCAGCCTCCCTGCCCCCGGCTGCCCGCTGACCCCTGCCTCTGCCCCGGCCGGGGAGGGGTCTGTGCCCACGAGGGCAGCTGCGAGTTAAGTGGCAGCCTTTACAAGGACAGGACAAGAGGGGGACCCCTCATGGAGTCCGGGAGGGACCAGGTTCCTACTTGTGATGAGGGTCTCCTGCAGGCCGCCAGCCACCCGCCGCGGCCACTCCGGACAGGTTCTTGTCCTCGGGGCAAATCACAGGCGGACGCCCCCCTCCCTCAGCCCCTCCGACAGCCACCGGCCTGCTGTGGCCCCGGAGGGACGGATGAGCACTTCCTCGAGGGGGATCCCGGGGACAGCGTGTCTCTGTGGGACGTAACCATCACTGGTACTTTGTCTTACAGGCCAGGACATCAAGTCGGATGGCTTCAGCATTGAGACCTGTAAGATCATGGTGGACATGCTGGACGTATCCTTCCAGGCGGCAGAGCCCAGACAAGGCGTTTGAGACCCCCGCCCTGGGGGCTCTGACACCGCGCCCCTCCCGTCCAGAGTCCAGAGGCCCCTGAAGGGGAGTTGAGGAGCTGCAGATGAGGGGGAGCCGAGGGCCGTGTCCCAGGTCCCCGCACGGGAGGCGGCCGCTCAGCTGTGCCCGAGCGGCCGTGGAAAATACCCCGCAGACCAGTCTCCTCTGGCTGTGGGTTTTCCCGATCGCGGGTGTGGGGCCCGCCCACCGTGGGCAGCTCCTTCCCCGGCCGCCCGCAGCCTCGACTCGTGGCTCAGGGACAAGTCCTGGGCACGGATGTTCTGTGCTGCTCGAAGTTTCCTCTCATGGGCTCACAGTGGTTGCCTCACAAGAGGCCTTAGAAGCACTGCGGAACTTAGCGGGGGCGGGGGGGCAGGGGCCTCTGCAGGTCATGTGACAGCTCGTTCTCACCGGGGCCGGGGCCCCCCGCATCCCCAGACCAACCAGCAAAGGTCAGGGTCGCCAGAGGCCTCCTTCTGGGCCCTCCGCCAGCCTCAGAGGCAGGCCGGGTCCTACAGCAGGAGCCGCCTACAGATATGCTGTGGGCGTCAGCGCCATCCGGTGGAGGGGACACACCCACGGCCGGGCTCTCCTTAACCGCAGGCAGTCAGATGGCAGTGGCAAGCTGGGGCTGAAGGAGTTCTACGTTCTTTGGACAAAGATTCAGAAGTACCAGGTGAGCGCCTGGAGGCCGCCGGGGGGCGGGGGGGCTGTGTCAGGGTCGTGCGGTGCCCGTACAACCCTTTGCGAGGTGGGAGGGACATCCCCAGGGTGGCGACTGGACCCACAGAGACAGGCTGGCCACACGCAGACAGCAAAGATGAGCCCGCCTCCTGCCCTTGCCTGGCGCCGACCGGAAGTGGGGTCCCCTAACAGCTGTTCCCGAAAGCGTCCTGGAGAAGCCACGTCGCCTTTTGTAACATGGGTTTTTAGCAGCTCAAGCACGACAGTCGGATAAGATAACGTGAGCCGTGGTGGCTGGCTGGTTGGCTGACGGGTGTGCTGACAAACCGGCTCACGGGAGAGGCCAACGCTATTAGCTAATTAAGGCAGAGAGGTGGGCGACTCTTCCAAGGCCACCGGAGGCAAAGCTGGGAAATCTGCATCCGCGTGGCCCTCGGCGCGAGCCAACTTGCTGCCTGCCTCGCTTTGGGTCATGGTTCTTGGAATTATTTCTCATTCCAGAAAATTTACCGGGAAATCGACGTGGACAGGTCTGGCACCATGAACTCCTACGAGATGCGGAAAGCACTGGAGGAAGCAGGTAACGCCTCGTGGCTGTTTTCTCTCTTCCGTCCGGCCGCGGGATACGCGAGCGCTGGCTCCATCCCGGCTGTGGGGTACGGGAGACTGTGCTCCGCACCCTGTGGAGGTCAGTGACCGTGAGACAAAGGGGGTGCTGCTTTGGTACAAACACGTCCTTTCCGTTCCCCTTTTAAAAGCTCCCTGGTAAAACGCTCTGCCCGCCATACCTTCCTGAATCTACATTTCCTCCGAGAGGCTGGTGGGGCGAGCGGGCCCCCGGCCCTTGCCAGGTGCAGGGCTGACACGAGGGTCTCTGCTCCCCTCTGTAGTGAGTCCCCCACGGGCAACATAAAGGCCCGACACTGAGACCCCAGATACCTGGATTCAGCGAGATCCACCTCCCCCCACGCGGTCCCAGTGCGAGGGGGGGGTGCCCCCCGCTGCAGGGCCTTCCGGACTAGGACGGCAAGG